TGCTGAACACTTTCACACAACTCTTCAAATCCAGCTGCTCCACAACACAAGCAGCAAAGTTGACTGCAGATTCAATTGTCTTACCAGTTTTTGTTCAGCTCTTCCAGACAAACAATGGAAAAAAATTAAAATTAATCATACATATCTCAAACATTTCTATAAACAGGTCCTTGAAGAAAGAAACTATTACGAGATTAGCTAACACCATGAACAGGGACAAGGATAAGGAAAGCTACTTATGGGGCAATTCCATTCCTGCAAAGGCACAAATACACAACTGCTGAGCAAGGTACACTCACACCAGTGCAACATTTTGTCAAAACCAGCAATTAATACACAACAGCTTGGAAGGCTTTTTTAATCTTCTGGCTACATTGTTAAGTCTTAAATAAAATCAAAGTAGCCCTAACTTCCTGAAATTACATTAAAGTCTGCAGAAAAATGTCTTGTCTTAGTTCTTTTTTATGCTACAACTACAGTTTGCTAGAAACGAGTCAACTTCCCAATACCAAGTTTTTTTGTTCTTCACCTAATGGTTCCTTTCACTTCTCAGTTACCATTTTCTGAACCCATACTTACAGTTAATCACAAAAAGGAATTCTGCATCTGCATCAAGGCTGTATCAGAAAAGCAGCAAATCACTAGACAGTAGCAGATTTCTCTAGTCCTTCATCCACCCATCCTCTGAAGCAGGAAATGTAATTTGTATAGGAGAGTACATCATAAAGAGTACTTAGCCCTAGTTTATAAGCTGTTTTTAACTCTTCTTCAAAAGAAAAAAGAGTTTTAGTAACTACAGAAAGAAACTTAAAGCATTCAAAGGTCAGGAAACACCAGCCTAAAGGCAGTCAGTCCCTTCACATAAAAGCATGGTCTCTATTCATAGAAGCACAAACTATTTCTCAAATAATACAATATGCTGTAATTATAAAACTGTATTTGTGGGAAAAAATTATGTAGCAAGCAGAAGTACTGAGGCTCTCATATTTTTGTAATGCAAATAAGGCTTATTCTTCAATGTGCAAATCTACCTTTCAAGAGTTTAGAAATATTCGAACTACATCTAAAGCATTCTTAAATGAGGCAAATTTAAAAAAAAAAAATCAATCAGAATTAACACATTTTTTCACTAGAATTCAATTTTCAGTCTTTACATTGTATTAACTCAGGCTTCTGCTTCTAATGAAGTACTGGACCCAAACACAAAAGCTTTGAACTCAAATATATAGAAATTAATATTATAATGAATCATATTTAAAAATAATAAAAGCCTTTCCAATGTTCAGATAAGGCACTTCTGAACAGAGATTACAGCAACAGTGCTAATAGAAAAAAGCAGCATTACTAATGTCCTAGCAGTATAATGGAGAACCACCTATGCTCTATTTGGAACCTGATAGAATTGTGTGGGGCAAGTCTCAAAAGGCAGAAAAATCTTAGCAACTAAATTCACAGTAATTAGATTTCTAATTATACCTACAGCATTAGTGATTGCTATAGTTAAAACTGCCTGAACTGTTCCGTTATTCCCCTATTTTGAAAAGCTCAGTTCTTCATCCTTTCAGCAGAAATTCTAGAAGCTTAGTCTGTGCCTGAATATAATTTTTTTTAAAAAAGTTTAAATAGAAGAAAAGAGAGGTCTGTGTCTGAGTATAGAGAGCAAAATTAAACTTTTCAATTATATTAAAAAAAATACTACCTTTAGAAAGAAAAAGGTGGTTGTGGTATGAAGGCAGCTGGAAAGCAGGAAGAACGGCGCCTTTGATGTGGTGAATGCGAAGGCTGAAAAACCCCAAACCCGCATTCACGACTGCTCAGGTTGTGCACTTAGTTCTTCAGGCACTCGACAGCTGCACCTTGGGCAACTTCTAGCAGCAACTTACACCAGCCACATCATCCCCTAAGTACAGCACCTACATCCAGCTGCCAGCACTGCTGATGCAAACGTCACCGGTTTTGTTATTATCAGTACAGCACTCTGAAATACTGCTGTGTTCTCACAAATATCAGCATATGATCTCTGTCTCAAGCAAGCGACTTCAGCATCTTACTGGCCTCCTGAACTACGCAGGTGTAGAATGCGTAATTACCGGAGAGTGAGCCTTATTTGGCCAACCAGCCACTGGATCAAGAACCTGAAGACCTTTATTCTATTCATAGCTCTGCCCTTGAGCTGCTCTGTGACACAGAATAATTTCACTTTCCTGTGCCTCAGCTTCCTCTGCCTTCCTGAGTCAAGTCTATTTAAGCCATCACCTTTCATTCCAAGAAATGCGTCTCAGTACATTTTTTTCTTAGGGTCTCCAGACACAATCACAGCTGAGAAGTAATACATGCATAGTATTAAAGCTGTTCTGAGATTGATTCATTTCTGACAAAGATAAAAAGATGCAATTCCACTTATAAATTATTAACTTTGCCAATATTTATTTAGAGTAAGCCTTCATATGTAGGAAGCCATCAGCTACTTACCTGTTGGGAAAGCTCAATTTGCACTGATTTCTGTGCCATCTCATTTTCACTACTTCTGTTAAAGCAAACATTCATCTGTGCGTAATGTTTTGAACTCCTCAGAACATGCACACTCACTGTAGCTAGAAAAGATATCAGTTAAACTTTTCTGTAGTTACACTGTGCTAACTCTTTTTGTTCCAGGAGCTATTAAGGGGCATATCTACTGTGCTGTTGCAGCTCAGATGAACTTCCCATTTAATCAGTGTCCCTAACAGTGAAATCCACATGATAATAGCTGCAAAAAAATGACACACTGTAACAGGGCCTCAGTTAAAGTAGGAGAGATTCTAGCACCATCTGAAAAAAGTTAAAGACAAGCAATGGACACATTTATAAGCTCCTAAAAATGGAAATAGCTAATTTTAACACATTCTGATTTTTCTTTTTTGAATAGAGCAAGAAATGCTGAATTCTGACCCTCAGAGATATATGTATCTTGGATTGTCTAGGCATTTGGTTATTCAAAATATCAAGAACTGGTTAAAAAAATATCCTGTAGATTCTGTACCTGACTTGAATTTTGGCACTATCGTCACACACTATTACTTCCTCGGGAAAGCAATGCATACAAGAGCAATATAATCATGCGGTGCCATGAAGGAATAACCACTTGAAATCAGCTGAGGTTCAAACATCTATTCAGGATACGCACACACAGTACAAATTACTTTTTGCTTGCTGCCTGGGTGCACAATTACATTCCTTCTGAAGTGTAGAAGAGATACATAATTCATACAGAGCTATACCTCATGACCCAATTGTACTTGTCCTTGCCAGGCATACTCAGGATTGGCTGTTTTATTGCCTCAGACTGACACTGTGATGTAAATCCAGACTGCCATGAGAAAAAATTAGATGTTATAGTGACAAGAGCACCAAAAAGGTTGGCAGAAGATAACAATCTAGGAAAAACCTCCTCTGCAAAACATCCCTAAAGTGTGACAGACATGGTCAGAATCAATACTAAGGCTGTAGTCAGAAGATCACAGCAAAAATGGTTGTCCAACTCAAGACAAATCAGATATTACCTCCTTCGTGCCAGAAGTTCTTGTCCCAACAACGTCGGCAGAACTGATGTGAAGCAGAACTGACATGGGCGTGAAAGGTGCCCACAACCAGCCTGCCTGTATTAAAGCCAGTGGAGAAAGTGATCTATTCTATCAGAGTGACAGGGTGGAGCTGCCATGAAGGCTGGTACTATCTTAAGGCACCATTAGCCACTGCTGCAATAGCAACAGGTCAGAGGTGCGCACTCTGTGCGTGAAGGGGACGTTCAGCGAGGAGATGGAGGAAGGCAGCGAACCGCTCACTGACGCAGATGAGACAGGCCTCACAGGGAGGTATTGTTCCCAGCTGAACTCATTGCTAAGGGGTTCACAGCCAGCTGAGATGAATAAGCCCTTTCACCTCTGACAGCACTCAGCTGCGGAGCAATTGCTAAGAGAGGTAAAGTGCTTTCACGGCATTGTACCTTCCAGAACACGGAAAGCTGCTTTGACCTCTGAAAAACTGCATCAGAGGACACAGCTTCAGCTGCACGTGAGACACTGAGCGCTTCCCCTTATGAGCACTATCTCAATCTGCCTATCAAGAGTCAGAGGAACATACCCTTCCCAGACTTGGTGGGGAGAGGGAGGAAACGCACAAGAGTTAAAGAAGTGAAACATGGGTGAAACAAATAAAACCATGCTGTTTCAAACTGGGCAAGTTCATCCCACCATTGCACCCATCAGCTAGCCACACAAATGGAGAGAGGGGGAAACATAAAGGCATGAACAGGGACCCAAAC